GTATACTACGGCGAGACGTCTAAGGGCATATGTCCGTACTGACTGCGATAAATCGTAAACCATGTGTGGATAGACGTGCGCGTCGGCGTATGCGAAAATCCCTTGATGAATTTCCGGAGTGGCTGATCGTTGAAGTACAGTATGGCTGACCCTACCTGCGATTCGAGCGTTGCGAAGAGTGTCGTGGCGCGAGTCAGGTACGCCCAGGCGGATTCGTTGGGCTGCTGCTTGAGCTGATCAAGCTGAGTCTGATAATTCTTGGCTTGCCGCATCGGGGCTAGACACGAACTTAGATGAGTTGAAAATTCATCCCATTTAAGCTTGTTGATGGCCTCGAGACTCTTTCCGTACTTACGTTCTACCACCACCATCACTTCGTTGGTGAACAACGGCGTGATGCTCTTCACCCATTTGCGAGTTGGGATCTCTTGAGCGATTAATTCGCGGTTGCACTGACGAAGGAATTCTTCGACAGAGCGGGGATCAGCAAAACCTTTGTACATCGGAATGCGGCTGGAATTGAAACTCTTGGAGTTCGTTAGCACATTCACGAGAGTCCGATTGGAGAGGACTGGTTCCTGATCAGAGGATTCAGCGCTAGCTAATTCCTCAGCTGAATAGATATCAGCATTAGCATCTTGCAGGGTAACTTTCCGTGCGAGATGCGGGAGCTCTGGTGTTGCAGCAGCGTCGGCTGTCGCAAATTCGTCGGCAGCATTGGCGAGCATGACATTCGACGAAGAAGGAGAAGAGCTCGGTCCTGCGCCACTGGCGAGGACATGACGGGGTCGGATGAAAAATTTTCCGAGCTTGGCAGACGTACCGATGTTGCAGGGGAGGCTGCTCTCTGAGTTGCCTCCTCTGATCGCAGAATACTTCGCAAGGGAGTATCCCTCTTGTTTCGGGCCCGTTGATCCGCGCTAGACAGCGCTTCACGTTGTACATCTCCATCCCTATAAGTTTGAGTCAAAGATCCACTGGTCTGACTCGGAGAAAGCTGCTGCTGCTGCTGCTGCAGCCGCTCGCTCCATTCGACTTCTTCCTCAGAACTCTCTTCAGCAATTTCTGTTTGAAATGCTCCTGATTGCTTAGATCGAGGTTGAGGGCTCCTTTCCGGCTGA